GCCCGCCCCGGCGGCGAAGCCCGGCGCCTACCCGTGCGAGGCGGCGGGGGATGCTGAGGACGAGGCCGGGGAGGACGACGCCGACCTGCTGGACACCTCGGACCCCCCGGGGGGCGGCGAGAGCACGGCCAGCCTGGAGGACCTGGAAGATGAGGAAGCGCCCTCGGGGGGCGAGGGCGGCAGCGGGGGACCCCGCCGGCGGGGCAGCGGCGCGGGCGGCGTGAGCAAGACCTGCACCTACGAGGGCTGCAGCGAGACCACGAGCCAAGTGGCCAAACAGCGCAAGCCGTGGATGTGCAAGAAACACCGCAACAAGATGTACAAGGACAAGTACAAGAAGAAGAAGAGCGACCAGGCCCTGCACTGCGGCGGGGCCGCCGCGGCGGGCGGCGCGGGAAACGTCAAACTGGAGGTACTGCGCCCTGCCGGGGCCCTTGGCGCGGGGAGGTGGAAGAAGAGAACCCGCTCTTGCGGCAAACCCCATTACACGGCCAGCTCAGCTGCTCCCCAAAGTGCTAGGTTCCCAGGTGAGAGCCGAGAGCGCCTGCCTGCTCGAAGTTAGAATGTGTAGGAGCGCCTGCAAAGCCTTAACAGGTCTGTTGCACGCTTGTGATAAGTGAGTACGTTTCAGTGAAAAGATGCGACCGGACAGCAAGAGCTGTCATTTCAGAGGTCCGGGGTATGGACAGCCACGCCGGTAATAAATGCTCGGTCTGACTTATTTCTCAATGAGCAGGCAGACTGAGCCTAGAGGAGGTGCTTAGACAAGGTAGCCTCTTTTCAGTACTGTGTTCTCCCTGTCCCTGTTCTTAGGACTGTTTGCGGTGTTTCAGGACTTAGGCCCCTGAACTTAGAATACTGTTCTTAGTACTTTCATGATTCTTAGTAGTCCTGTGCTTTTATTCTTGGCTTCCCCGTTGTTAGTACCTTTATTCTGGCTACTCCTTTCTGAGAAAAAAGGTTTCACGTTAACACGTTGTAAATCTCGGATTTTATATTGTATTTTTGGTTTTCTGGTGTTTTGGTTTTTTCTTTGTCATTTTGAGATAGGGTCGCGCTGTGCAGTTCAAGCTGGCCTTGAGCTCACTTTGTAGCCCAGGCTGGTTTCGAGCTTGCTGCAGTCCTCCTGCCTCAGCCTCCCGAGTGCTGGGATTACAGGCATGCGCCACCACGCCCGGCTATATTGTTTTTATTTGAACTGTGTTGAAAGTTAAAGTCGGGGTTCTGGAGGTAAAGTGCTGGCTTGAAGTCCCCGCTCCATTATTTGCTGGCTTTGTGGCCTTGATCAAATTATTAACCTGTAAGTTTTAATTTCCTCTTCTGTTGCCATTGAAGTAGTTCCTAGTTCTTATTGTTGCTAGAAGTATGTGAGATGTTCCCGAGTGAGTGTTCACACTGTGTGGTGTAGTTCAGGTCAATAAATCTTAGCCGTTTTTATTGTACATAGTACTAGTATACTTCAGGGTTGCTACACGTAAGCAGATACTTCATTTTAGGTTTCCTCCTTTTAATAAAAGCTAATCTCAGTGCAGAGAATCATTGAACTTAGTTAAAACAAGCCAGAAAATGTTTAAAAGTGAAAACTGTTATGAACTTGACAAGCTGTACTATTAAGCAGATTTTAGACATTGTAATTGTTTATAAATGTTTCCTAAATATCTCTAAAATCTGTAGTCATCAACACATAACAGTCTGCATTGGTTAGGGAATGACTGATTTCTCTTTGTTTTTTATTCTATGCAGTTTTCACCTGTTAGGGTTTGGGCCATAATCCGAAATGTTGAAATCCTGAGAGATCAAAATCCCTGAAAACTAAAATCTTAAACAATCAAGATCTCAAAAATATAATTCTGGAAAAAGTTGGCTTTTAAAAATTCTATGTAAGATAGTTATTTTTTAGAAGATTTAATAAACGTAAAAACACAACAGTTTATAGATTAAAATGGCTGATAACATACATTATTTTTGAAAGCGTACACAAAAGTGTACTATCATCAGTTGCACAAGTAAATATAGTTAGGAGCATGTGAACCATAGTCATAAAGAAATAGGTAAAAAGCAGAATGTATAAATGCATATCCCTGTGGTCGGTAGTATGCTCCCAGCTTGGTAACCAAGTCATCTGAAACCTGCAACCTGACCTGCAACCTAAGTTTTTAGATGAGGTCACAGTGCGTATGTGGTTGGCCAAAGAGCTGAGATCTTGAGAAATTTTGTTTCACAAATGCAGATATACCTAAAGGATATCTCTTCATTATTAAGGAAATTTAATGTTTTATATACGTATGTGATACTTATACACAAAGTTATTATGATAATATACTTTCATGGAGTAAAATTTGCAAAAAATGGATAAAATGATTATAATTTTCTGAAAGTCTTCACATAGTTTATGCCACCAGTATAGGAAATGATGCAATGGTGAAATAGTATAACTTAAAAACAGTGGAAAAAAAACAGCTGAAAAAGTCTGATGTATGAACTGTGTATTGTGGAGACAGATCATGGATGATTTCACAGAGGCAGATCATAAAGGTTGGCTGACTTTTGGGATCATCAGTGAAGTCTTGCCTGTTTTTCTTTAGGCTATGACTGTCGGAATAGTTTCACCCCCATTTCTTTATCTGGTGCTACTCCTGAAATACAGTTTTCAGGATTTCAGCTTTTGGGATTTTAATTTTTGGGGACTGTGACTTTGGGAATTTGACATTAGAGAACTTGGACTTTTGGAATTTTGATATTTTGAGATTTCAACATTTCAGATGATGGCATTCAGGATTATGTCTCTTGGGATTATACTCATCACCTGTTTAGAGATAAAAAGGATACTTTGACAGTCATCTCCATTTCCTAATGAAGACTCTTCCCCCTAAAATGCACATACGCAGGTGTTTGATTTTGCATACAGTCTCATGGGACCCTGTGGGTCTTAGATTAAAACCTCCTTCAATCCATGTCCTTGTAAAATAATACTTCACCAAATCTTTGACTATAAGGACTTTTGGAAATAAGCATTTTATTTAGTATAGAATGAAAGTGAAAGTGATCAAGTTTGTCCCTTATGTGTCTCATCTACTTTAGAATTCTTTACAGAGAGAAAAGACTTCTTTTGAATGAAAAAGTATGTTATCTATGGTTACTTTTTTTAAAACGATCCAGCATTTTATGCCTACAGTTTCAGGAAAATGTATAAATTACATATAAATACTGAATTAGTATCTCTCTGTCCATACCCTATAAAAACTCTTCTAATTTCTGTATTATAAAATAATTTGCATGGTTTTTTAAGGAAGCAACAAATAATAGCCTACTGTGTCATTTGTTTTACTGTGGGCCAGTTCTCCAGTTTTGAGACAGTTAGAAGAGCTACAAGTCTTGATCTTTTTTGAATGGAATGTAAAGAAAATAGTGTCCTGTAGTATATTCTAAGGGCCACCCTATAGTGCTGCTGTAATGGTTTAAGAAGGAAAAGCAGATCACTGTAAGCTGAAACACTCTGGAAAGGCTTTGCAGTGGAAATGTAATTTAGTATACGCCAGAAAGAATGGCCAAGTTTTTATCTGCCCAGCAGTTGCTAGGCTACAACTTGAGTCTTACAACCCTTCAGCAATGAGACAACCTCTATTTTACACAGGTAGAAACTGAGGTTCAGAAAGAGCAACTTGGCCTACATCATGCAACCAGCAAGTACTCAAATATAAGCAAGCTGATTCTGGAGCTACACCTTTACTCCCACACTGCAGTGCTTCCCTAGAATTCTGGTAGATAAAAGAGTAACACATTTCGGTAAAGAAGGTGTGGAAAATCCATGAAAAATGGAGAAAGGAGGGAAGATGACTAAAAATGATCAAATGCACCAGTATATGTGTATGAACGTTTCCCAAGATGCATGTAATTATTATGTATTGAAAACATATACTGATAATAAAAATAATTTATTGAAGAAAAAATTCATGAAAAATAAATTTGGAAAGAGATATTGAAGCCAATTTTTATATGATAATGGTATCGGGTGGCTGTGGGATTTGGGTTTGGAATCTTTAAGTGAAGTTTTCTAAGGGGTCCTACTCCAGTAGGGTGGATTAAAGTCGAAGGCTGGAGATTTGGAGACTGTACGAGATTACAGAATGGATAGGTAGGGTGGTATGGGGACTTTCTGCCATGGAGGGTGAGCAGCAAGATTAAAATCAGTATTTCTACCAGGCATGGTGGTACACACCTGTAATCCCACCACTGGGAAGGCTGAGGCAGGAAGATCACCATGAGTTTGAGGCCAAGGCCAGCCTGGACATAGTGAGAACTTGCCTCAAAAAAAAAAGAAAAATCAATATTTCTTACACAAACCAAGGTTAAATAAGAAGTAAGTATATGTAGTATCTAAACCATGTATCTAAGAACTATGATATATGAAGCAACTAGAGATAAAATAATTTGCTTGTATGGATTGGAATCATTATCATTAAATGATTTAAAAGCTACCATTTGAAAGAAACAGATTTTATTTTGCATAGTTCTAAAGTAACTGGGGCTCTAGGTAAAAATCACAAGGGTTGTACATTTCAGCTCAAGCTAATTAAGAGCTGTCTCAATGTTGGAGCTATTCAGAACCAAATAGAATACCACGAAAATTGGTAAACTCCTTTGGATAAAACATTTTGAAAGTTTTTTGAAAAAATTCTAACACTTGTCAAAGTTTGGACTAGATGACTGAAGATTATTTTTACTACAGACCTCTGTGGTTTTGTGCTACTAACATTCTAAAACTACCTAGTGCTTTGTTTGGGGTTGTGGGGATGGAGGGTGTTCAGCAGTCAAGTCAGCTCCAGCCTTCCATTTATTGGGCACATAAAAAGTGAAACAGTCCCACAGAGTGAACTGTCTGGGGAGACAGGAAAAAGCTTTTTGTTTTCTGTAGGTATTAAAATATCTTAGAATTTTTACATTTTGGAGCCAAATAGTTTAGGGATAGAACACTTTTGTAACATCAGGTGGCCAAACTTCTCATAGGGAAAAAAGAGGGTATTTTATAGACAGCCCTAAGGCCAGTAGAGAGGCCAAGAAGAAAAACAGATAAAATATCCTGACTGAAGAATAACGAGATTAAATTCATATAAGATGGGGCTTTATGGTAAAACATTTTATACTTTGAAGTTTAGTAAAAATTTTTGGATGAGGTCAGTGTTGTATCCTGGTTTTATTAGAGTCATAATGTTAACTAGAGCAAGGTTTCATTATTCCAGGAAGATTGTTAACTACTGAAGAGTTATTCTTTCAGGTAATTTGGGGTACATATTTGATAGTGAGTGCCGCTGGCTTTGTTTGCATTTTAATGTCTAAGGGTAGTAGTATCATTTTAGAGATTACCCTGATTCATCTATCACAGTGACAGAAGATTCTGCCAGTGCTTTTTAGCCTTTTCAAGCCAGTTTATAATTCTTCTCCTAATAACTTGCGAATTGTGAAAGCTTTTTGATCAATTGCTTCTTTAAGCAATGTCTTGCTGCTCCTCTTGTAGTTTTGAATGGGCAAAAAAACAGAGCGTCCCATTAGCAATATAAGATTACCCCTAAATTCATATATGTCATCCAAAAGCAAGCAGACTGCTTGGTCCAGATGGTTGTATATGCGGAGAATGTTCAGTTCCACTTGGCATTTCTTATAATACTGAAAATAACTCACAAGTAAATCTTCACTCTCCTCCCCTCACTTTTGCCCCGCTATTAATTTGAGACCCTTCAAGAGAATGGAGAACCCAAGTTGGAAATCCTGGACAGTGGGAAGAAGGAGGAATATTACATAAAATTAACTGCCAGCACCTCACCTATGACTTAAGCGACGCTCCCAAAATATTATAGGAACTGGGCAAAAGGAAGAAAAGCAAAGACCTATTTATCACATCCCTGAAATGCTCATCATTTAAATTACTATGTTGTGTTAATTGTTAATCTCATTTGGCTTTTATCATTTATCCCAGGAAAGTGCAGATAACATACTCTCCATTGTCAAACAAAGAACAGGATCTTTGGGAGATCGTCCCGCAAGACCTACTCTGTTAGAACAAGTGTTAAATCAGAAAAGACTGGTAAGTTGTCTCCTTGTCGTTACGGATCTGTTAATGAAAGTTGTCTGTTACAGATGAAACTGTTTAGATTTTTTTTAAGATTTGGAAAATCACTAACTTTCAGAATTGAATTGTGCCTCTTTGACAGTACACACTAGAATCTCAGAAATATTATTCCAGGACTGTAGGAGCAGGAACACTTTTAGTCCTATTTCTTCACTGACCAAACTTTGACTATCTGAACAGGATGGCATTTTAAAACAGACTTCTTGAGCCGGGTGTGGTGGCACGTGCCTGTAATTCCAGCACTTGGGAGGCTGAAGCAGGAGGATTGTTGCAAGTTCAAGACCAGCCTGGGCTACAAAGTGAGCTTAAGGCCACCCTGAACTGTATAGTGAGACCCTGTCTCAGAAAGACAAAAAAAAAAAAAAAAAATTAACTAAAACAGACTTCCTGTACTGAATTCTGAGGTTTGTAGAATAATACTTTAATGCTGTAGAGACACGATTAGGCCAGTATTTAATCTCTATTATAAATTCTGTAGAAGACATCAGGAGTTAATCTCTCTGAAAGAAGACATTATTCACTAAATACTAGAATAACTGGATTTTGTCACATCATGCTCAGTATTTGCCAGAATAAATTCATGATAGTCTTAAGATTTAAAAAAATTGAATGGGACTTTATCTCAAAAATCTAGAAAAATATTTTTCTAGCTTAAAAGACAAAATCACAAAGCAGTATAAATTTCACTGCATAATAATGAATGCAGTAGCCAAAAATGATCCTGAAAATCAAAATGAAAAATAATACAGGAAAGTAATTGCAACAAAAATGAAAAGTAGCGGTTAAATGGCTGAAATATTTCTTGTGTAAAGCACTGATTCATTCATTCATTCATTTTACCATGGGGCCCTTGCTGTGTTGCGTAGGCTGGTCCAAAAGTCTCGGGCACAGGCTCAGATGGTCCTGCTGAAGCTTCCCAAATAGCTGGGACTGTAGCTGCATGCCACTGTGCTGGGCAAAATATTTCATATGTTTTATGAGAAAAAAAATTTGGCCTCAGTGTAGTGCAAAATATATAAAAAGAAAAAAGTGGAAATATTACCATTAAATGACATAAAAATCTTCAATATTAGTAGAAATGACACAGTAAACAAACAAAAAATATTTAAATAGTTTTAATTACGTTGAGGGTACCATGATATGGAAACTTCTCTTAATGGTACCTTACGTTGGCATGAACTTTTACAAGGTAGTCAGGCAGTATATATCAGGAGTTCCTAACATGGTCATCCCTTTTGACTTAGAAATCAAACTTACAAACTTCCGTATTTAGGAGGTAAATCCTAAATATGGATAAAGATAAGGATATCGCTAGAAATACATTGATCATAAATAGTAAAATCATAATGGAAACAATCTAAATGTTCAGTAGTCTCATTACAATTAATTACATTATTGTGAATGTACTTAAGAGGAAGTTGGGCAGTCTATACAAATAATTTTGAAACAAAACTATGTCATATATATAAAATGTGCTGTAAAATAATACATAAAATGCGTAATAAACTTTAATCAATATTTAATGATAATATATCTACCTTATTTGGTTTATCTTTTTCAACTTGAGACCACAGTTTTTTGTTACGAATTTATACAAGTATTCTATTATAGTAAAAATATTAACCATACTTCCTTATATTTGTTGTATGATGTGATGTATCTTTAAAAATGGTAAGTGTATAAAAAGCATACTGGTTATTTAAGGGAAGCTAAATTGTTTCTGAAATTTCAGTAATGTGCTAATAGTAATTTTATATTTATATGTATGTGCATGCTTAAGTATTTCTTAATAAATACATATTTCTTAATTACTTCATGAGGGGTTAGACCGTAGGATAAACTTGAATTCCAGTACTAGTTTTTATGTATTTACAGATTGACGTTGGACTCTTGCTTTCACGTCCGAGCCCCTTTTATCCTGCTGTAATCCTGGGCCAGCACTCACTTGTTGCTCTTACATGTTTCAAGGGGATATATTTGCTGACAAAGCTTGGAAAGCACGTCCTTCCTATGCAGAATCACAAATGACATGAGGCTGAACCATTGTTTCTGTTTTAGTATTGTGATAGATGGCATCAAATTTTATTCTTTATTGTATTGCAGTAAGGCATATTTTGTTCTGTAAGGACATTGTATTTTGTATAAGGACATGTAGAAATATAATCCAATCACATAATAAAGCTGTTGATAATTTTTTTTTCTCTTTCAAGTCATTGTTAAGAAGTCCTGAAGTAGTGCAGTTTTTACAGAAACAGCAGCAGCTACTAAATCAGCAAGTTTTAGAGCAAAGACAGCAGCAGTTTCCAGGAGCATCAGTGTGATGGAACTTATCAAGACTCTGGACATTTTTTTTATTGTAATATATGAATATATTTCTATACCAAAGGTAAATGGCGTGACATATGTCAATAAAATGTAAACATTTTCCTGTAGATCTACATGTGCATTTGGGTATAAATAAGTATTGTACTTTTTGTATATAATCCTTTCAAATCACCATGAATTTGAAGAAGTCAGCTTATCTTCTCAAAATAACATTTAATAACAGGTTTTTTTTTTAAGTACGTTCTTCAGTCATTGTTACTGAAGGTAATAAGGCAGTTACTTTCTGTGGAAGTTATCAAGTTAATAGATAATAATTCTGAGCCATCAAGCTCCAAAAAGCAGTTGGAAATATATGAGTATATTTTTTGATTGTCATAGTGAACTTGAAAACTGCAATTTTTAATGACTGGGCCAGGAATGCCAAATGTTGTAGAGTGACTGGGATAATCTCACACAACTAAACATTATTTTCCTGAGAATGCCAACATTACTTCTTTTAAGAAACTGTGATAGCTATTACTGTGATTACAAGTAGTTGGAGCACCTAGAATCAGATTCTTTCTTTGTAGTTAACACTGAAGCTGTCAGAAAGATAAACATTCTATATCTATAAGGAAAGTTATCATTGGTCATTGTTTATTTATGAAATCATAGATGTGCTGGTAAAAATCTAAAAGAAGAATTAAATATTCCAGAGTGAATGTACATCTCCTCGAGTTGGCTTCTGTATTTCGTGTGAGCTATTAGTGTTGTTCTTTAGAGCAGACCCTCTGATGTGTTGAATTTGTGGATAGTACACATGCAGCTTAACCCACCAATATTTTTTTTTGTTTTTTTGTTTTTTTGGTTTTTCTCCCGTACTGGGAACCGAACTCACGACCTTGCGCTTGCCAGGCAGGCGCTTTTGCTGCTGAGCTAAATCCCCAGCCCCAACCCACCAATATTAAGACCAAATTATTTTATCTTCATTTTCCATTAAAGGGATATCCTGAAAATAATACTAGCACTCTACCATTTTATCAGTGCTTTTCAAAATTGAGCTGTTTTACAAATACATTATTCCTAAGTACTATTCAATAAAGATGGGTAACCTGGACATTTTTTTCTTGTATTTTTTCCTAGGAAAACTTTAAATAAAGGTAAATAAACCAATAATAAAGCAAGTGTCAAGAGAGTCTATCCAGTACTAGAATAATAAATATTATGTGTCTCAAAATGAACTGGACAAAAATTTCTTAGTTTTTAAGCTCTGAGATATCTATTGCGTTAAAGTTAGTCATAGCTGTTTTACTAAATATTGATGGGGAGAAAGAATGTTTTTTCATTTTTATGTATGTTTTATACTTGAAGATCTGTTTGCAAAAACACTTTTGCCAAAATTGCTCATTAAAATCCACTTGTTGACCTCGGAGTTGTCTAATTCACTGACTCCATTTTCTGTAGTGGCCGCGCACACTGGATGCAGAGGAATTAACTTCCTGTTACCATATTTACAGTATTGGGCATGTTAGAATTCCTGGAGCTTACATTAACTTTTGTGGTGAAAAAAATAATAGCTTACACTTCTTAAAATGAACTAAGTGAAATGGGAAAGTAGTAGGCCAGTGAGAGCTGAATGAATTCATGTATTTATGAGAATATCGAGATGACTAGTAGCCACTAGACCCTAAAGTAGATCATTGAGAGCCTCAGTATCTTTTCCCCAGGGTACTTTTTAAAATACAATGTAGTAGCTCTCCATTCATGAATTTGGATGGGAATATGGTAGTTTGCAGTATACTTTAATTATGATCTGCCACATGGGAATTTTTTCCTTTTAATACTGTCAAAGCAATAAGGTTTTTACCTATTTGGTATAGATGCATTGCAGTTTGTCTCCAGTTTTTCATTCTCTGTTCTCAAGTTCTTTGTTGCATGCCTGCAGCTTCTTCCACCCAGGAGGTTGAATTACTTAAGCTAGACTTGTTTGGACCAATATAATACAAATGAAATTAGTGTGCCAGCCCTGAATAGACTCTGCTTTTGAACATTTCCACTTGTAATGTTAGACTTATGCCCTGCTACCGTAGTATAAGGGCAGTCTAGCCTGCCTGTTAGTGACAGCGGTGTCATCCCTATTGTACCACCTGATAGCCAGCAAACAGCTAGAGGTACGTAAGTGAGGCTGTGCTACACAAACTAGATTTAGAGGTCTCATTCAACCCAGCTTTTCCCCTTCTGGGTATCTTCCCAGAAGAACTAAAAACCATACCATAGCCATCTCTGTGCACCCATGTTTATAGCAGCGCAATTTGTAATAGCTAAATCTTGGAAACAACGCAAATGCCCATCAACTGAGGAATGGATAAAAAAGATGTATTTTTTAAAAAGGGAGTATTACTTAGGCATAAAGAAAGATAAACTTGAGCCTTTTATAGGTAAATGGATGTAACTAGAGCACATCCTCATAAGTGAAATAAATCAGACTTGCATGTGTAAACATTGTATTGTCTGCCTAGTGTAAGAACTTGAAAGAGTAAATAAAATCTGAAAGGTACAATAGATATTGTAAAAGGGAAAGAAACTGCTGAAAAGAAAAGAACTGGGGTGAGGGAAAGAAGAAAAGAAAGAAGGGAAAAAATATATATATACACAAGATGGCTAAGGTAATTGTACTTGTAGTTTCTGTTGGTTAATTGAGAGGAACAGTTAATGCTTAATTTTTTTTATCAGTTTTGCAGGCCAATATGTTAATCTGAACAACTACTTTGAAGATAACCATGTAACAACCATTGTTGATTTCCTATCATATTGTTTTGAAATTCTGTATAATTTTTAATGTTTTGTTTTTTACTCTCTTTGAAATAAAAAGATCTAACAAAAAGGGTACCCCTGAAAAAAATGTGTGCATGATTCTGTTTATGGAAAGCAGAAAAGCAGGTGCAGGAGAAGTCAGAGCAGTGGATTCTGGGGGGACAGTGTCATGCCTCAGAAGGGCAACAGGAGGCTCCTCGTGTCATAGGAGTGCTCTGGTTACACAAGTTGATTGTGCATGTGCGTTCTGTTACAGAAAGTTTAGCCAGCTGTGCATTTTTGTATTTTTATATGTTTCAGTATATAGTGTGTATTTTAATTTTTAAAAGAGTTGAGATTTTTAAAAACGACTTTCTCAGCTGCCCCGCAGCTGGGTCTGACACGCAAGCGAACTCTGGCCGGTGGAACGTGAACAGAAGCAGTGTGTGCGCCTTCCGGATGGTGCCCTTAAAAGGAGCAAGCAACTTGCTTTCCCTGTCTCTCCATCCTGCTGCCTGGAATGTGGACGAAACAGTGGAACATCCCTGGCTGAATGAGGATTATTCACAGGGGAAAATGAAACAGCACAACAAGCAACTATGTCCTTTGTTAGCTGCAAGGAGCAGAGCTCCAGGTATTATTACTAGGTGAAAGAAATGGACTGTATCGCTTCTGACTGGTAATTATGATATCTTCCGTAACTGCTAGTATAGCCAGTGAAAGCTATACCCTAAATAATACTACAGGTAAAAGAATTGACAAGTGGTATTAAAGACTTGCTCTGCTGAAAGCTAGGAATTTGTCATGGCAACCTGCAATTATGTGACACCATTTCACAGGACTCAACCTGCCATTATAGTAGGAAACATAAATTATAGACTTGATCTAGGGCTCATTCACTGGAAGAAGGGGATCAGAAGGTTAGGATGTTTTTAACAGTACTTTCTTGATAGAAGCTAGAGTTCAGGCTAAGCAGATGAGATGAGGCCAACAGGGACTGCACTTCCTGTGACATTGCAGTACAAGTGTAGGGAGAGAGAGGATACAAGATACTTAATCTAGGAAGCTGGGCTCAGAATGCATTAGCGACTGCCCCAGTTTTTACTGGACATAATCAAATTATATCAAGAAATGAATAAGGTGGTCTTTTGATCAGCTACAAGACCCTCCCCCAGCTTCTGCTTCAAGGTTTTGATTTAGGAGACCAACTAAATAAACAAGTCCGAAGGATTTAATGACAGGGCTGTCAGTCAGGAAAAGCTCGCTTCAGAAAGAAGTCCAAAGGACATGCTTTAGCTCATCAACCAGCAACTCTGCACTGTTACAGAAACTTGATTTTAAAGAATGGCAAGAAAAAAGAAGGACCTCAAAAGAAGTAGCTCTCAAAGGAGACACTTGCCGGGGCTGGGGATTTAGCTGAGCAGCAAAAGCGCCTGCCTGGCAAGTGCAGGGTCGTGAGTTCGGTTCCCAGTACCGGAGGAAAAAAAAAAAAAAAAAGGAGACACTTGCCGACAGCAACAGACTAAGAAACAGGGAAATTGCACAGGGTCATAACAGTAGTAAATTATATATACAGATCCACATATATACATGCCTATATGCAGAATCAGAGTTGCTTTTTCATAAAGGAAAATAGGGACATTGTGGGGGTCACAGGTGGTGGGTAGGGGTAGGTGGGGTAGATGATGGGGTCAGGAGACAACTTTTGATCAAATAAACCTATTTTTAGCCAGGCATAGTGGTGCATGCCTGTAATCCCAGCACTTGGGAGGCTGAGGCATGAGGATCGCTGTGAGGTTTGAGGCCCCACTGGGCTACAAAGTGAGCTCAAGTCCAGCCTGAACTGCATAGCGAAACCCTCTCTCTCTCTCTGTCTCTCTCTCTCTCTGTCTCTGTCTCTCTCTCTCTCTCTGTATCACACACACATGCAAATAAACCTATTCTTGAATTTTTTTTTACCATGTACATATGACCTTGTTTGAAATTGAGAACAGTAAAGACTGTTAGAATTATTTCTCTTTTGCTGTTTGGGTTTATGGAAAGAAAAACATTTATATTAGTATTTAAAGTTTTTAAGTAAAATTTAACACTTTAAGATTTGAACCTTTAAATAAAAAGATTTGAATCAGGGCCCAGTAAATCATATTATATGTACTGAGGTTTCTTTTTTAGATCTCCTCCTTTTTATTTATTTTTTGCTTACTTATTTACATATATATGATATTTATTTAGAGTGACATTTACCTACTAGAATTTCTTACCATCCATACTGAGATCCAAAATGTATAAACTTCTCTACTGGAGATGCCTATACAAAAATATAAAGACAATGTGA